ATGCTTACGTTTTTTCTAAATCAATTTTTTAAAATTTTTCTTTATTTTATTTTCAACCAGTTAATAATTTTTAAGCATGCCAGTTGTTTCTTCATAGGCCATTACTAATCATTTTGATAAATCGTTTAGAAACCTATGTAGCCTGATTGATTTGGATCATATGTTGGCTTTTATCTGATGCTCTTGAAACTGACTGCGCAAACAGTAGTTCCTCGGATCAATTTAAAAAAAAAAAATTTTTATCAGATGAATATCAAGAAAAGCTGATTATATTAAGTTTCTATCTAAATCATAACTTCATTTTGATAACTGTCCTTATTTTCTCTCAATAGGGCCAACTCTTTGTTTTGGATCATGAAATTTAAGAATATAATTTTTCACTTGAAAAAGGGGGGGAAAATCTTTTTCACTATTGATAATGGTTAATTTGTGGAATTTTCAAGAATAAGTTCATTTGCTGTTGAAAAACTTGTATTTATTGAATAATATGGTCTGGCTCTTGGCATACATCCAATGAGATAAATTTGTTGTGATTAAGGAATATTTTTTATTTTTCTGTCTGTGATTAAGGAATATTTTTTATTTTTCTGTCTGTGATTAAGGAATATTTTTTATTTTTCTGTCTGTGATTAAGGAATATTTTTATTTTTCTGTCTGTGATTAAGGAATATTTTTTATTTTTCTGTCTGTGATTAAGGAATATTTTTATTTTTCTGTCTGTGATTAAGGAATATTTTTTATTTTTCTGTCTGTGATTAAGGAATATTTTTTATTTTTCTGTCTGGGCAAACTTTTTAAAATATATCTTCTATTATAAATTAAGTTTATCATATTTGTTAAATACAAAAATAATTTTGCACTTGTTGCAAAGATGAGAATTTTTTCCCCTATAGCTCTCAAACTTGGAATGAGGTGTAGTGGGTTAAATGTACAAATTGGCAAACTGTTAAAACTCCCTCTGAGATAGTTTATGCTAACTTTGCACTGATGTTCTTAAGAAAGGCATGAATCCATTTCTTATAGCTATGGGTAAATAGCAGAGTAGTTGTAGAGAGAGGAGCGCTTTGACATGTAGGATATTCAATCTTGCCTGATAAGCTAGAACCCCTAGAAAGTGGCTTCTATCATATGTAATTAAAGCTAGAGATAATTCTAAAAATTTCTGGATTTCATTTATAGAATATTCAATTTTGAAATAAAATTGGTTCTGTATTAACAAACGTTCCTAAAAAAAAAAAAATCTGTATTAATAAGCAAATTCTGACACTTTATACTAATGTCATGTTTTGCATACTGATGAAACTATGAAAAATTTGAGTGCTATAAAATTCTGGAGACCTGAAATGCTAAGAACAATGCCATAAATAGCCCCCTCCAGAAAGTATGGCACTGGTATTGTTGTAGTGGGCTTTTATCTAGACCCCCATAGTTAATAATACTTTTAAAAAAAAAATATTGGCTAAGGAGGCTTAGCTGCTTAAGCCTCTTTCTGCAAGTATGGCCAAGGTGTTGTTGTCATGGGCTTTTTATCTGGACCCAACAATTTTTCAGTTATTTAAAAATATTGGGGAGTGGGGCTTAGCCCCCAAATCTCCACTCCAGAACAGCCTTAAAATCAATTTTCAATTGACGTTTATTTCAGAGTTACCGAATTTTCCTAAATTCATATTTATACATTGATTTGTGTGTGTGACTTGTTTTCAATTGTTTTCATTGTTATTTAATGCAATATGAAAACACAGAGGAACCAATTTCCTATTTCAAATTTTCCTTAATTCCTTTTTTTTTTCTTCTCTGTTTTCACTTAATTCTAATACTTAGCAAGAAAGTGTAACAATATATAAATGTTATTAAAATAAAATGAAAAATCTTAGCTGGAATATCCACTCATTGGATAAGTTACACCAACTTGATAGGGCTTCATACCTCATACTTCAGCTCTTAATCTAACTTGATGAGTTTCTGGGACAACCCCTGCAAAGAATTTTACAATCTTAAATAAGTGAAAGTGACAAAACCTACAGAAAAATAGCACCACAAAGTCATCTAGAGACAAAAAGCTATTGAAATTATTAAATAACATTTCTAATTCTTAAAATTTGCCTTTCTGAAATGACAAACTGTCCCCCGCACCTCTGTCATCATGTATGATAGAAAAAAAATATTAAACAAAGAGCCCCCACCTACACCACCACCGTTTTTATTCGTTTTTTTCTTATTGAGTCAGTTTTATAAAACTTGGTTCCAGTGTAAACTGTAGGGAGACAGTAAGTAAAGTGGGATGTACTAAAACCGATTTTATCCTTTGATGTCTGTCAAGAGAGAGTTAAGAAAGGCAAAACAGTAACAAATTAAAATGGCAGTTGACAAATCTGTTTGTTAGAAAAAAAATGTCCGTATCAGAATTGCAGTTTCCGTTTCAAGTAGGCGATTCTGTTTTTTCCGTTTTCATGGAAATTAAGCCTCTCTACAATGTCAAATTTATTGTTTATTCCAACTGTAAATTTTAAAGAAGTTTGATAAAAAAAATAAAATGGTGTAGTGTGTAATTAAGAACAAAGATTAAACCCCACATCAGTTTTAGTGTATTCTTAGGAAGACTTATCAGCCAATCATGGTGTCTAGTTAATGTACTGATTTTGAACCAAGCAAAAGCACCCCCCCACACACACACGCGCCCTTATCTGTGCTACCAGGCATGAGTATCTCGGATTCTTAAAAACTAGTAATCATTAATAATAGGCATCCATAATAGAGCGATATTTGTTTTTATTAGAATCCTTAAGATAAACACTTAAAATAATGAAATAATAGTTATCAATCAATTATCTTAGTTGTATTGTGTATAGTAATAAAATCTTGCAAGTGTGTATCTGTAAATAAAAGTGGTTACTTGAAATACAAATGGAAAATATTGAATGGGTGATGACAAAATTTGCTTTTAAAAAAAACATTGCAGTTACAGTAATTCTGTGATTGGAATTTGTGTAGTGTTCTTGTTCATCTCAATTGATACGTTGATTTATTTTTGGTTTTTCTCATTGGAACAACAAATGTGAAGCTAGCCATTCTTGCTTTCAGCCTCAATTTAAAGGCATTTGTTTTCAGAGATAATATACTTTTTATGTTAAGAGGAAAGGAATAAAAGGCATAACACATGACAGCTGATTGATTATTGTATTCCTCAAGAACAAGATGATTCTTTTTTGCGTTCTTTTTAGTACGAGTCATACATTTAAATATTGAAATACTATTCATGATGTGACTTTTCAGATATATCATTTATATAGGTCATTTTCCTTTAACATTGTTCACTTCATTTACTTGGTTATTGTTGTGCTTTATTAGCTTCCAAGTGAAATAATTTAACTTTGGCTTAAGTTAGATAAAAAGAATAATTAATCTGCTTTGGTTTTACATTGCAGTGAAATCTCTTTAAAAAAAACAAAAAAAACACAGGAATACATGAAAGAAAATTAAGTATGACAGCACTATCCTTTTTTTTTTCTCTCTATTCTCTATAAAAGCCAGTGATTGATTGAAATGTTCATGTTAGAGCTTTATATTTGAAATACTTCTGCACTTTGCTGAAGTAACCTAGTTAAATCAAATCTCTGAAAGAGAACCTCCTTTTTTTTTTTTTTTTTATGTTAGCCAGTCACAGAACTATTGTTGCACAAGTTGTCATGCATTTTTTATCATTTTTTCTTTTTTGTTTTTTTCTTTCTCCATTTTATTTCATTAAATCTGTATGGACGTGACTTCTATCCAAGAATAATTGCTTGTCTTCAGTTCTCCAAAGTCACAGAATATTTAATCGAGTCTGAGCGTGTTTGAAAGGCTCAGTCATTCTTCCCAGTTTGCTGACCTATATGTCCTTTATTACTAGATATGAAAAGATGAAAAAGTGAGATGGAGGAGGGAAAACAAGAGAAGCATTTTATTTTAATCTCTGTATAGTTAGTTGCTGGGATACATACTTATTTAGGCATGCACAAACACACACTATTGCATATTTAATTTTAAAGACTGTAGAAATGTTTTTCCTCTTGTTTCCTTACAATTATTTGGATTGTTAGCTTGAGATTATTAACACTAGAAGAAATAATTAAAAAAAACAAAAATGAACACATAAGACAACCTACAATAAACAATTTCATTCTACTTCAGAATCAGGATTTTTAATATTTTTAGTAAATAATAAAAATCTGAAGTAACACCCTTATTATAGTGTTTGGACATTTAACAATGAAATGTTAAAACATAAATTTGCAAAGGCCATGACAATGTAAAATGTATGCTCCATATTTTGAAACTAGTTTTAAGTAGTCTCTGTTAACACAGCACAGTATCCATAATAGTATTCCAAATTTCATCCACCAAGGTAAAAGCTCCTCTTCAAAATGCTGTAACATTTGAGTTAAGGTTAAGCAAATAAGCCAGTCATTTCATCAAAGGAGTATCTTTATAATTCATTTTATTCAAATTAGTTTTCTTAGTTGATTATGAGGACATAGTGATGTGCATGAAAATCATCTTCCTGGAAGTGTTTGGCTTTTCTTTCTTTAAAAAAAATTGTATGTCTGAAATGATATCTGAACACCATCTGGAAGTTGCTGTTGACCCCCTACATTTTGTCTTGCCTACATCAGGCTTTACATCAGCCATCAAGTATCTTAGCAAATTTCTGCACAGTCCAGTTGTACCTGCCAATAATTTTTGAAAATCCCACCTTTTTACAAACTCTGAAGTTAAACATTTTTCATTATCCATCAAGTCAGTTTATGATCCAAACTTGTAATGTGTTATTAATTTGAGACTTCACAATTCATTCAATTTCATAAAATTGGCCTACATTTGTTTTCATCCAAAATATTGCCATCATTGAACAAATGCACTTTTAGGTTCCTATAAGTATTTATTTTATATACTACTCAGCATCATTATTTTATATACTACTCAGCATAATTTTATTGATTTGTTTTTGTTAATTGTGAAAGTCTTGGATGATGATTCTGTTGAATTTTTTTTTCTTCTTTCTGTCTCCTACTCTTCTCTCACTCTTCCCAGGTTTTGCAGATGAGAAGATGCACAGCAATTTTGGGAGATAGGATATTAATTTAATTTTATTTGTGGTGTTGGAGGGATACAGAAATTTTTAAAAGTTTTTAAGCTAAAGAATTCTGGTAAATACATTCCTCTTCCTCAATTCTGAGTACATAAAATGTTACTCTTACATTGATTTATTAAAAATAAATATTTAAATTTGTTTTTCTGCATCATTTGCGTCTTGTTCCTTAACCTGTTGTAATCTTTTTTTTTTTCTTTTTTTTTTTTGCAGGTGGGTTTGTGAGGACTTCCCTGATTTGAAGGGTATCTTGGAGAATCGCATTCTACAAGACTATGACTCTAAAAGGTAATCTCTGGTTTTTTTTTGTTTTATTTTTTATTTTATTTTTTATTTTATTTTTTGTAGTTTTGTTTCTTTATGATACTCTTAATTTCCTTGTATTTGCGATTTAAACTAGTCTAGAGCCATCTGCTTTGTCGTGAGATTAGAAATTTGTAGATTTGGCTCTTATTATAAAAATTGATCATCAAATGTCCTAACAATTCAAATTTGCTTCTATGAATTTTTATCTCTTTATTTTGTTGTACATTATACCAAAATTTGTTTTACATCTTATTTTTTTTTGTTTGTACTTTTTTTATTTTTTATTTTTTTTTTTTTTTATATAGATCAAACTGGCCATTCTTTGACCTTATCAATTTTGATTTGATTTTTTGATTAGTTAAGCTATTTGCTGTGTAAAAAAATTATTGTTAATCTTATCAGATCCAACTAAAAAAACTTTGAAATAAATCTAAATGTAGTACCCTAGACTAAGTTAGTATCAAACTAAATGTTTGAACTCTCATTCAATATAGTATGACTCCAAATATCTTGAAATTTTTTTTGTTTACTCAAGAATAAATTTGAAGAGTATTTTTCCTTATTAATCAAAAGTAATGGTATATTTCCCACAATAGAGAATTGTCCCCATTTCCTAAGGATGTTCTTTTTGAGAGGAATAAATTAAATTGCTTTATTTTGTATATTTAGTTGATTGGTGGCTATAATATTCTTTTGATATTGATCATTTTTATTGAGGAAAAATATTTGCAGCAGTTACCACTTTGTAGATTTTATAGTTTCCACAAGTAAGCTTTATGCTGGCTTACTTTAAAATATATATATATATATATATATATCAAAAACATTAGATAATGTTTTGTTTTTAATCTATTCCTGTATCCCCCTTTTTTTTTTTTTTTTTTTTTTTTGTGGGTGTTGGATGACAACACCTGGAACTTGCTCCTTTCTATCTTGCTCTGGATATATTTCATATCATTTAAATTTTGTTATACAACTTTTATAATACCCCATTTCCATTTAATTTCTAATTCTTTCTTGGACTTCACTATTGAAATTTCTTTCCCTATTATTCAGAATCTAGGACCAAATGATATATGCTTTTTAAAGTTATGCAGACAATTTTGAAATTGTCAAAACAAATTTATTATTGATTTGTCAGATGGTTCCCTTCTATTCCTCCTCTAATAAACTTTTACAAAAATATCCCACTTGGCATTAGGAAAATGCTTTTCACCAAGTTGTCTGCAACTACATAACTTGAATTTGTTTTATTTAAACAAAATTTTATTCAGTAGGAAAGTGGTTATGAAAATTTCAAGGCAGTTCATTTCACAGATATTTATAATTTAGTTTAAATATATTTGATTTTTTTTTTTTTTTTTTTTTTTTTTAAAATTTTTACCAGAAACAAATGCCTATATTAGTTGTTGCAAGAACAAAAATATCCATCTTTTTGGATAAATTTACATAACTTTAATTTCAGGTTAAGTCAACCTCCTCTTACTCCCTCAGAAAGTGCTGATCAATAATCAATTCTTACTGACTTAACTGAATCCTAAAATATATTTAAGTTCAATTTGCCCAATTCATTAAAAAATGTTTCAAAAATGTTTTTTAACCATAAATCATGAATTGTCATTCTAGAAAAAATTGATCAGCCATTGATAGCATTTAGATAAATATTTATTTGAATTGGTTTGGAATACTATAATTTATTGTGGTAGCCTTTTTCTTGTAGGTAACTTTCCAGTGCAGTTTTTGTTGGCTTCTTAGCACTTCCCACTCTTTGGTGTTTCAGAATGTTAATCATGCTTTTTGCTTCAATGAGTTTTTGGCAGTAGCAGAGATGTAATTATGTATTTTAATATAATTACATGCTTTTGCTAGTGCTTTGCTAATTCAATGTTCTGTGCTCATATTGTAATGTTGTGCATAAAATCAAAGGATATTGGTTTTGCAAACATTTGCTACTATTTCATAAGTGTTTTTAATGATATTATACACAATATGCAAATGGTATGTCCCTGGGGAATATGCTGATGAATTCCTCAGTTCCCTTCTCTTCATTCTCTCCTACTGCATGGTCAAGGATTTACAGAAGTATCACATCCCCCACCCCTTTTTTTTTTTTTTTTTTTTTTTTTTCTAAATGAAATGTTTATAGAAAGAATGAAATAACTGTATGCAGTGTGTGTGCATGTAACATTATGAAAACATAATAGTACTGCCTTCATTGTCTTTGAAAGGATCCTTTCTTTTTTATTTCATTATTATTATTATTAAGTGATAATAATTTTCATACTGATTAACTTTGTGTGTGTGTTAGTATTTTGGGACAGAGTTCCATAATGTCATTCACAGAATCTAGCATCCTATACTTGCCCCATTCTCATTATGCTGCAAGTATTGATTTTTGCATAGCAACTTTCAAGTGTGCTTGCTCTTTAATAATCTTGGCTGCATTCTTTGAACTTGGAGCCAGAATAGAATTCCATTATAAATTCACAACTTTTCTCGCCCATCAGAATCGTACCCTCCACTTCTTTCCATACTTCTTTTGCATTACACTTTGGTTAATATGATGCACATACAAAAAATAAATTCATAAAAAGTTATTGAACAATAAATTAACCATTCAGTTTAATATTGCTTGATGGTATAAATATATTTCTGTGTATAGTAAAATGTCTACAATTATTGTCACAGTGAGCCAATGCTTAATTAGCTTAAAATTAAAGACTCGTGTTCCTTTGTTCATTGCCAAATTGTAAAGAATGGTACTTCCTCTACTACTCATGTTTGTTCAGGTTAAAGAATGGTATTCTAGTCATTATAGAATGTGTCATTATAAATATTTTTTTTAAAAAGCCAGTTTGGAGACGCAATTCCTGTATCAGCCTTGACAAAATTGTTGAATAAATTCAAAGGAAGCAGTTGTCCAATGATTCTTGGGTAGTCTGTAGTCAGTTTTATTTTTGTAAACTAATTGTTAAGCTTGTGATGGTTCTAGGTGGAATTTATGAAGTCTATGAAGAATTTGTTTTTCCATCACTCAATCCCTTATTCAAATCGTGAATTTCCCTACTGATTTCCCTGGCAAATCTGAGAAACAGGCTTCTTGATTTATTTCTTACTTCCTCTCCTAGCTCTTGCTGAGCTTCACAACACTGTCTTGGCAACTCTCGTCACTCTAGTATCTATTGATATCTCATTCCACTCATCTATTAAGAACTTCCTATTCATAAAACCCTTCCGTTACAAGCATGCTGATTGGGATTCTCTCTGATTTTCTTCAAGATGCCCCTTGGATTGATATTTTTCAATCTCCATATTGAGAATTACACCACTAAGGTTTTCAAGGCCATCTATCACACTCTAGATAAAAATGGTGAAGCTCAGGTTGTTGCTTTAGACATCTCAAAAACTTTTGACAGAATTTGGCATACAGATCTTCTTCACAAATAGAAAAGTTATGGTGTCTCCAACCAAATTTTTGAACTGATCCAGTCTTTCTTATTAAACTGAAGTAAAAGTTATCCTGAATGGCCACTCCTTAGATCATTTTGTACTAATACAGACGTCTCCCAGGGCTTTATTCTTAGTCCTACTTTGTTTTTGATTTTCATTAATGACCTTTCCGATAACATCAGCTCTCAACTTGGTATCTATGCTGATGACACAACCATTTACTCTTGTCTCGACAGTAAGTCTGATCAGTCTAATGTGGTCAAATTGGCAGCTGATGACAAAAATGACTTTCAGCCTGGAGCAAAGAATAGCTTGTTAATTTTAATGCTTCCAAAACTAAACTGCACTCTATTAATCACATAAGAGACCTTTTTCTACCTTCCATCAGCATAGTTGATGCTATCATCCAGGAGAGTGACTCATTGTGCCTTCTTGGGCTAACATTCTTGGCAGATATGAAGTGAAAAGACTACATTGAATCTATTGCTAGGTCAGCTGCTAAGAAAGTTGGTTCACTGTGTTGTGCTAGACAATTTTTCTCTCCAGAATCTGTCTATACATCTATGCTTAGAATATTGCTGCTATATAATGTCTGCTGCTCCTTTACAGTTGAGTTGCAATAAGCTCTTGCCATTTCTTGCCGTCTGGGTAAAACCTCCCAATAGTCGGTGCACCACCCAACTTAAAAAGGGTCATGTCACCGGTATCGCACTATATTGGTCAATGGACTCCCACAACATGTGAGGGATTCACCCTGTCCTCAACACAACCTCCTCTGTGAGCGATGATGAGAATGATTCGTTGGAAGGCGAATTGCTAATTTAGCCTGTACCTAGCGATTCACACAAGGGCCCACCGAGTGGCCCTGATAGCTCTGACAGTTCTTCTGAAAGCTCCTCTGAAGAAGTTCCGATAGTGTGCCTTCAGAGAAGCACCCGAAACAAAAGACCACACCCGCACTGTTATTTGTGTGATAAGTTGATCAAGGGGGAGTGTGACGATAAATATTCGCACTTACTGGAGTCAAAGCATCCAAGGTGTTTTGCTTTTCGGGCTGCTGTGAAAGATTCCTCTGGGGCTGAGGAAGCCTTAAGGATAGTTCGAGTCCAGTAGTTCATCAAGCGCTAGTGTGTTCACACTGGAGTTTGCCCGCAACAGTTGTTTTACTCTTTCCAGAAGCCCTGCTTCAAACCTACCGCTAAAGTGAGTGGTGTAATCACCAGTGTCTACCGAAATGTGGGAGGAACATACTGAATGTCAACAGGAACTGATGACATCGGGAAGATCGTTAATGAAAATCGGAAACGGGATAGAAACTTAGAGAACATCTGCGTTCATGAGAAAGGAACTGGAGGAGAATCTGTTTAGGATGACCTTCATTACATGGTTAGATGGTTGTATTAAGTCAAATAACCGCCCTGAAATTCCATATCTCTGAAGCTTACGAAGGAGGCCAGCATGCCAAACCCTATCAAACACCTTAGAAATATCTAGAGCCACAGCTTGAGCTTCTCTGTTATTGTGAAGTGCTT